AACAATCTTGTATGCAGGTCTGGGCTCAAAATCTATTGACATACATGTATGTCACACATGTATGAAAAAAGTGTATGACGCACATGGTTGCTAATTTGTGGGCACCTTTAGACTTTGACTCCCTTCATACAACAAATTTACTACGCTACTGATAAAACATGCAAATACATATAAGTTTTTGCCTCCACACGCAGCTTCAACCTGAACGCGCATACAAAATTTCTAGCGATTACAGAATTCATCAGCGCGTCGTTCCACTGTTTGCACGTTCAAACACGCAATGCAATTTTGCATACACATTGACGGTTTTGGTTGCGCGTTCATGTATGTACGTACATGTCTTCATACATCCACGTCCGTGTGTAGGGGCCTATTAAGTAATATCACAGAACTGATCAGTTCAAAGAAATATTTGTTATAGTTAAGACAACTACGTTACTAATGTCGTACTTATAGACATAAACTTATATAAAATAACAACATCAAAAAGCGTATACTAAACCAAAATAGTGAGATAAGCTTGGACTTTTGGTGAAAAACAGGTACATATGGAATCAAGCCAATTTTTAGTTACAAGAAACGCAAACATTATTCTTAATGCTGTTCAAAACTGGGGACAAAATGGAAACGCAGTGGTAACCACAGTAACAAAGTGGTATCATACTCACATCACTTTATGCCTTCATAAAGTAGATCCAGTAGGCTCAAAAATAAACTAAAAAATGAACTTCCGAGGTCATAACGCAATATAAAATAACATAACTGTAAGTTATAAACTTCATTACCGTACAGTATATACTTCGAATTATTTGCACAACCATAAAGTAACAAAAATAATTCAACATCTTAAAAACTATTAGGCAAACGTACATAAGTTTTATTTTTCAAAAACGTTCAATGGTTCGTCAAACTCGAAGAATGCTCGTTCACCTTTCATGACCATTTTAGGATTAGGAATGATTTGCAAGATATTGTCATAAGGTTCGTAAGATATATCAGTCTCGACTGCTTTAAAAATTATACGTTAGCAGTATAATCTACAGCCTTATAAAACATGACCTTGACGTCTTCCTCTTCATCAACAGTACTTTTAGCCACTCCCAGGTAAGTATAATGTTTGTCTTTAACGGAAGAAACTTTAACTAAAACGGATTTATATGTCACTTAGTATATATAATGATCTCAATGTTAATTGTCCACGATAGAAAATTAACAATGAGGGAAACTGTATACTTTTCGAGAGCGAGCTCGGTAAACCCACGCGTCGTGTTTAGCCAAGCAAACGTGCGTCCTCCTTGGCATTCAACACGTAACTGTTAGTAGGGGAGACCGGGGCTAGTTGTCACAATTTTTAGTTTAGGCCCTGGAACACAAACACCTTTAGAGTAATTTCAGCCTACAATTGCTATAAACAGACAGTTGGTACTTAAGGTGTATATTCATGTTTGCTTTGAGTTTTGAATTCCAGAAATTAAAGAGATAAGGCTTTTAAACCCTCATTAAGATTTTTGTGACAATATGCCCCGCCTCCGGGCAAGTTGTCACAATGATTGGGGCAACATGTCACAGTATTATAAAAACAAAATAACCAAGAAACAAAACTCTTTTATTAAAACGAGATGCTACAAACATCGATGAAGCTACATTTCGTCATCAGAGTTACAATTGTGGCACACATAAAATGGATTTCTATCAGTACACTGTGTATGTGACCATTGCTTGCACGCTGTACATCTAAACCAGCTTTCAATAGATGCACTATAGAGCTCTCCGCAAACAAGGCACATACAGTCTGATGATGTTTCCTCTCTCTTAGCCTTAGTTTTCTTTTTCTTCTGGGATAAATTCCTTTTGATGCTTTTAGCTTGTTTTGCTCGTTGGTTGTTTTGCCTAGAGTTTTTTTCCTGCTCGAGTTCATCCTTCACTAGAGTATCTGTCAATATTGCAGATTTGCGTTTTTTACGTTGAGTGCGGTTGGTCCTTCTCGAAGCTTTTGGTAAAGGACGAACTACATATTTCTGGAGAAAGCACTGCCTTAAAGTTTTCTGGTGGCGTCGTTTTCATTTTCTTTGGAATCTGCTGTAATCCTGAGGGACCTAAAAGTAACAGAAAGGTAGATATTAGTTCGATATAAAGACTCTTATATTTATATAATATTATACCTGCAAGGTTTTCATTTGGATTTTCGGTTTCTTTAATTTGATTGTCTCCTTTTTGACTGTCCTCAATGATTCTCTCACGACTGTCTGTGACTTCTAGCTCTTGCTGCTCATTTGTTGCACCTATTCTTTGTTCGTTTTCATTTCTTTGGATTCTCTTTATCCGTGACGTAACTAGGAAGGAAGTCTTGTTCCGTAAATATTTACTTGTTGAAAGGGTAGATACCAGCAACTTTGAATCCGAACATTATATTATTTGGAGTTAATGCCATAGGGAGCGATGTTGCCACAATCGTAGATAGTTATAGTTTTGCTGGGGTTTGACTTCATCCATGCTGTGCAAGCAGAATTTATAAACTTCTTTAACGGGCCAAATACACTGCGATCGAGTGGTTGCAATTTGTGGCTACAGTGCGGCGGAAATGAAAGCATTATAATTCCATTTTCTTTAGCATAATTCAATGCAGCTATAGAAAGATGAGAATCATGGTTGTCTAGAAGAAGTAAGACAGGTTTTTCCATATTACATTTCACAGTAGGCACAAAATGCTTTAAAAATGATAAAAAAGGATTCTCGTTAAGCCATCCAGGCGGGACCATTTGGAGAAAATGTTCCTTGAAATGAACTCGGGGGAATACGAAAAGTTGCAGTACACTATTACCAGTTGCAGACACAGCTATGGCTAAAGTCGTGAGAGTGCTTCTCTCCGCAGATGTTAAGCTTCCAATCTGTCGCAACCCTCGCCTGGCAACTATGCGATCCGGTCTTTGTACAGTCACGATCCCGGTCTCCTCCATGTTGTATATGTCACAGGGCTTAAACTTGTATCTATCATACAAATTTGCCAAATTATCGAAAAATAATGCCACATTTGTCGTATTAAAACTTGTAGCCCTGGAAAGGCTCGTCGATTGTGGAGTCCGCAGTGACAAAGTGGGGTGCCGTTTTGAAAAACCCGTAAACCAATCAGGGCCTGCCATTGAGTTATCATTCCAAGTATGTGGCGTTTGTTTATTTAATGCTTTTGCATAGTCATGTGCCAGTTGGGTGTTAAATCGAAATAAACATCAGAAGTTTTTTTCAGATATTTTTCTAGTTCCATTTCTTCAATATCACAGAACACAATTCGAGATTTTTTGTATCCCATTTGGACATTTTCATTGGTATTTTTTTCTTCTTGCTAAGCTTCGATAATGTATAAATGTATACCAAACTCTTTTGCAGCTTGCCTGATGGATAATAGATCATTTTTATTTTTTACAGCTTCTGCTGCTCTCAAGAAAACATCCATGGGTGCAGTAACTCGATCGGTCTTTCTTCGGTATGTTCTGACCATCTGAAAAAGATTAATAAATTGGCGCTGGTTTCGAAAATAAATATTGACAGATTACAGTATTTACGAGTCAAGTGGTGTTATTTTTTGTTATCTTATGCATATTGTTTCAACACTCGTTAGTTTGAGAGCATAAAGGAAGTTTCAATGCCAATAACATTGAGAAAATTACAAAAAAAGGATATAAGAAAAATAAATAAATGATGTTATTATATGTATAATGTTTCAACACTCGCTAGTTTGAGAGCACGATAAAACCTTTAACATAAATAACATCGAGAAAATTACAAAAAAAGAAAAAAACTAAGAAAAGGAAAGAAAGGAAAAAAAAAGAAACAGGAAAAAAATATGCATAAGATAACAAAAAATAACACAACTTGACTCGTAAATACTGTAATTCTGTATTCTAATTTGAAAAATCACGAGTATTTTGAATAATTAATTGTGACACAGGGGTTTGAGTTGAAAAAATACCCCTAACCTCGCCAGAGGTTTTCAATTTTCTCTCTCCTTTTCTTCCGCTCATCATTGTTCGCGGTACATAGTGTTGTGTGCATATACCTAAACATAGGTATATTCACATGCAGCTGCCTGGTGGCCTTTGATGCTGGAATATAGAGAGAGAATGTTCTAGCGTGGTCTTTAGTTTCGTTTTTCTCGTCGAAAGCATAGCACCCGCATTGTTAGCAGTGATACGCTCCGTTACTCATGGTAAATATTATAAATTTTTTGACATTCTCTACATCACTCCGTTTCATCTAACGTGGTCTGTATCATTTACTAATTAATTATAAATTTTTTCTTACAAAAATTTTTACTAAATAATTTATACGGTACTAACAAATAATTAAAAACATTATTTTTAAGAATTCCTTTTTTTTTGTCGAAAGTAAAGCTTGTTGTGCTTTCCTGATGAGCCCACACAACAGGCTTGGGCGAAACAAAAAAGTTCACTTTTTCGTTCTTTCCTGTTTCTTTTTTTCTCTTTCCTTTCTTTCATTTCCTTATTTTTCTTTTCTTTTTTTGTAATTTTCTCGATGTTATTTATGTTAAAGGTCTCAAGCTAGCAAGTGTTGAAACATTATACATATAATAACATCATTTATTTATTTTTCTTATATCCTTTTTTGTAATTTTCTCAATGTTATTTGCATTGAAAGTTTCATCATGCTCTCAAACTAGCGAGTGTTGAAACTGTCGGCCGAAGTTGAAAATATTTTCTGGGGGATTGTTGACAACTACTATCTACTGACGGTAGATGGCGCAACGCTTCGCTTTCATAAACAACGAAGAAATCGGCATTGTGACACCTTGCCCCTATGACAACTAGCCCCGGTCTCCACTAACGTTTGTTTCATATTCTTCGAGAGGCCTCGGGTGAGTTTACACATGCATGGTTTTAGTGGCGCCAGTCGCCGTGCCAGTTTATTTGCATGCCAGTAAAGGTTTACACTGTGGTACAAAAACAGAAATATTTGGCAAGCCAGTTTCATTTTCATAATATAGTGCGCAATATGTCGGCTGAACCTCGCGCAGCCTGCAAAATAGTCGCTAAGCTTTTAGTGAAAAAGAAAATAAAAGAAATACAGAAAAAAAAACGCTACCAAACGAAAAGGTCGTATGTGGGTTAAACCATGGATCAGTCGTCGAGATACTTTGGGTGCGTCTGCAAAACTTCTAGGAGAACTGTTAGTAGAAGAGCTACAAAAATAATCTTCGAATGAGAAAACAAAATTTTGATACTCTCCTGGATTGTGTGACGCCACGTATTTTAAAAATGGATAACCACATGAGAGGTGCATTAACACCAAAATTAAAAATGGAAGTAACATTAAGATATCTTGCAACAGGAGATTCTTTCACTTCATTGCAATATTTATATCGTGTCCCAAAAAGCACAATATCAAAGTTTATCCCTGAAGTTTGTGAAGCCATTTCTGATTCGTTAAAAAAATCTATTAGGTAGGTAAGCAAAATACATAATATTTATTATACAGTAGAACATAGGCAACAGTTAAAACATTTTAATAGGCTAAGGGCCGATTTCACCAATATTATTATTATGGACCAATAGGAAAATACCTTATCGAAATGCAATTTGACGGAAGCTGTCAAATGTCTCAGAATATCAGTGATTTCTATCAAAATGTTGAATAAAATCGTGAAAATTCGACTGTATTATAAACAAGACCACTTTTTGATTCCAACATGATGCTTTTGTACAGAAAAAACACGACAACTTTCATGTATTTTGATATATGTTATAGGTTTACATTTAACAATCCGTTATCACCTCAGCGAATGGGAATGGGAGAAATAATAAGTCGATTTTCTAGCTGTTAAATTTGGCAGCAGGTTTGGTCGTTTGTTAATTCATGGCAATCTCGAAATTTGTTAAGTTCAATATACTGTGTGTATATTATGTGATCATTATAGCTACACATACCTGTTGAATTGTGCGGATTTGTAAGAAAATAGAATATAAAATGTATTCCAACCAATTCCTCATCTCTCTTTACATCATAATAGTAATCATTTGTTATAAATTCAAGGGTTAATGAATTTCTTCAAAGCAATCAGAACAGTATGGTCGTCCCCATCCTAAAACACCGATATGTGTAAAAATGTTAATCCCTACATCTCCGAGGTGCATAATGCAATTACTGTAGACATAGACCTACAATTATTAGTAATTACTGAAAAATAAGAGCTAAAAAGAATTATAAATAGTGATAAAATATTGGTGGTTAAGGTTTTTGACTGGTGACTGGGGGATACAATATAGGGATGGCGACGATAGAGAAAGACTTTTCCCTGTCGGCCCTTGACATCGTTTCGAAATATGAAATTCTGGAAACGCTATAAAAATAAAAATGAATACACAAAGCCTACTTGCCTATTTCAGACAAAAGCAAAAACACATAACGATTGTCACCTTGACATCATTCTGCAATCTGTCAAAGTAGTGATGGGCCTGCTGCATGGTATACGGTATCGATATTCGATAAAATATTTTTCTTTCTACCATGAATGCGTGGAAAAAACAAAACAAGGAGAGATCTAAAATAAGGAGTTACTGAAGGCCTAAAATAGCCAGGCGCTAATAATTCCTGGCCGTATTTGAATATCTAAGCAGGCATAGTAAAACAAAAATAAGACTTGGAATTAATAAAGTTTATTTCGACAGTTGGCAGAGTTTGCTCTACTGGGCACTGGGACGAAGTGTTGACGGATCCCACAGAATTATGTGTCACTTGTCGATATGGTTAGTTTTAAAATATCAGGAGATAATCAGCTGTTATTCAAATCAGTGTATATGTTTTGTGATTCAAATAACGTCTAATATAAATATAACCCAGAATATGTACTCAGTGAAAAAAGAAAAATATTGCAAATTTCTAGTTTTTCTGCAGGTTTTCGGTTTGCTAGTAGCTCTACGACATATATTCTACGCTGTGAATATAGTGTGGATGTTTGTTAAGTTACTGAACAATGAAAAATATCCAACTTTATGGATGTAAGGATATTAAAAAAAAAGAATGGTTTTGTGGGAATATCAATCTAAGGTGCCATAATGATTCTGATGAACGGCAAGTAAATGAATGAATCTTTGGAAACGAGCAATATCTATGAACTTTTTGGTAGACCCAGTCATCAAGTAGGTGCTTCATGGCTATCTGCAAGAGGTTTATAGGAAAAAACACCCAGTAGATGATCTTGAATCAGTAAAATCGCATATAAATTGAATAAAATAATATAGACATGAATAAAAAATCAACAATAGTAATTAAATCATGAACTTTATTCAAAAATCAAACATTTCTTTAAATTTTGACTGAATTATATGTAATTTCTTAATATTCAATAAGCTGATGATGTTTCAATGACAAGATGTCATCTCATACTTTGACAGTATTTTGTTTTCAACATTTCATAGCTATTGGTTGCTAAAATTTGTTGATTGGAACTTGAAGTACATTCGTTGTATTTGACGGTCTGTTACCCTATAGGTGGAGAATAACGGGCTGTTGTTGGTGACATTGGCCCTAAATTTGGCATTAAAGACTTTCTTTAAACATTATCATAAAGAGAAGTATTAATTGTCTGTGAAAGTATGTCGTAGTGTTCTTGCTCAGGGTTTGAATGTAAATTTGTATCGTGAGAATTATTATCGTTGTATGAACGGTTTGAGCTTGGGGTTGCAGCATATTCATAATTAGTTGATGAGACAGAGGAGAAAGGTCATTGGATTTCTTGGACATTCGATGTTAACCGTTGACGTATAAGATACGAATGTATGTACGCCATTGATTCCAAAACAACTGTTTCTGGCATCTTCTTCAGCGAACAAGCCACCGACCTGCCAAAACAATCAAAATGATTTTCCTCTGCTCTACTAGGTTTGTCATCTGATTGTTGTGCAATTTCTTGTAGCCCTTGTAAAACCCTCTCGGTGCTACTTGCCCTTTTTGCAATATTCTTTGGAGCTGTGCTGCTCGATGTTAATTTTTGAGGGATTGGTTTACTGGCCACAAATGAGTCATTCGAAGGAGGCGACAGTACCTCTTCAATAGTTGCAGAATGTATACTTTCTATACTATCATCAACTTTCGATTGTGATTCAATCACCTAGAAAAAAAATAAAAAACCAGTTTAGTTGAAAATTATACATAAAATCAATTTTAGTACCTAATTAGTAATTTAAATTATTATTTTCAGGTGCCAACCTTTGAAAAAGAAGAATGGAAAAAAGTTATTTTCAGCACGGTGGAATTTTCCAAATTGTGCTGGTGCTTTGGACGGAAAGCATATTATATTGAGAAGTCCTTTCCATTCAGGTTCAGAATTTTACAACTACAAGGGACATTCAGTATTATACTACTTGCTTTAATTGATGACCAATACTGTTTTCAATATATAGATGTGTGTTTGTAACTCAAGTAATGTATAAGCTAAATGCAGACTAGTATAAAAATTATCCACATACAATGTTCTTCCCTGATTGAGAAGATCCTAAATAAGATTCATAACGACATTGTATGAAGCTAACCTCGTCTTATCAGTCGTTTGATCTTCACCCATGTAAATGCTGGCATTCCAAGTGTAGCCATTTTCAGTGCATAGTTTATACAATTATATTCCATAACTGTATCTTTTCGACGGAGTATATGGACGGACGCTTAGCCGTCCTCCAAAGGGTTATCATCGTCTCATCAATGCATATGGCTTCACCTGGAGTGTAAGCATTTTTGAAATTTTTTATAAACTCATTAAAAATTTAATTTATTTTATGCGTACGATCTCCTGGTGTTGCTTCGTCGTTATTAGCAAAATGCCAAAACCTCAGTAAAAGCTCAAAACGAGATTTTGAGTCCAATAATCGGGAAGTTCGGGGACTTTCACAACGCCCATCCATCCAAGCAAACCCACAAACTGTTTAATTTCGCTTGCATCAGTTGACATCCAGTCATGCAGACGTAAAGAACTTGGGACATCATTTGCACGTTCAAGATACTGTGTGTCAAACAAGTTAGTTTGATTTACCATGATATTTATTATTCCGTGGTTAAAAAATAACGAAAAATAATCGATTGTTTCAGCTAATGCCAATATTCCTGAGATCGTTGGATCCATACCACAATCAGCACTGAAATTGTAGTGCTGCTGTTTTCCGGCCGGGTCGCTCCAAATAATGGGTGGAATGCATAAAACGTAGTAGATGCTAATGCTTCAAGTATGTACTACATTTTTGAAGTTTTAACTACACTAACAAAGCATTTACTTTCCTCCATAGTATATGCTACTATGTACGAGATACACAGAAGAATATACTACGCTTAGTGGTTTAGTAGTATTTGCTCCAGTTTAAGTGGAGTTAGTGTATGAGCAACTTTGGCTACCGCAAATTCAGTATTTTTTTTTGGAAAATGGCAGCATTCATGAATGTGCGTCGTAGAAAAGTTTACAAACAAGCAAGGATATACAACGATGATATTTATCGTAAATTATTTAGGTAAGTATCATAAATCGTGCAGTTTTATGGTTATGTAATCATTAATAATATAAAATCAAGTTACTTTCATAATTTTTTGTTTGAGGTTTAACAGAGAAAATCTAGAGTGGCTTGCAAACCATTTTCTTGATGATAATGAGGATCCTGTAGAAACAAGAGGTGGAGCCTTGTCACCTACTCGGAAAATGGAGATATTTTTGAGAAATTTAGGTTAATATAGGAAAGTAATTCTAAAATTTAAAAAATATAAATATAAATTTTTCAGGAGATCCTGGATTTCAGCAAGGAGTTGCTGTTGATTTAGATGTAAACCAAAGTACTGTATCCAGAACCTTGATTACTGTATCTGAAGCAATTTATTCGAAGAGAAATAACTGGATAACATTTCCTAATACTAACGATTTACTTGGAGTTGCTATCAATGAGAGGGCAAATACCAAGCGAATGCCCAGTATCATAGGTGCTATTGATTGCACTCACGTTAAAATAACAAAGCCACAAATCTATGGTGATGAATATGTGAATAGAAAAGGGATATGTTCAATAAATGTACAAGCTACTTGTAACGCCAAAGAAATCTTTACCAGTGTCGATGCGACTTGGCCAGGCTCCACCTATTCAAGAAAATTATAATTTAATCCATGCGAAGGAACGTTGTGTCATAGAACGCTGCTTTGGTCAGTTGAAACGGCGTTTTCCAATGCTCCAGTATACATTTCGCATAAAAATTGAAAACATTCCAAAACATATTGTGATTGCATTTGTACTTCATAACATATCTAAATATTTGCAAAATCCATACCATGATTTTGATCCAGTTCAGATGGAAGTACAAGATGCGATTGAACTGATACCTGAGGGTAATCAACCACAAATTCGAAATCGAGGCACATAACGTAGAAACGACGTTGCGGAGGTTATATTTCGTGATGTCAACTAATATAATGTCATTATGCACAGGGTCGTCTAATAACAAACAAATGTTAAAAGTAAATTATGTTGTGTGGTATTTGGTTTTATTTTCAAATAGTAATTAATATATTCAAAAGATACAACTTAATAACATATTTATTTAGTAAAACCTTGTAACAAAATGAAATTATAACTGTTAACATTTATTATTATAACTATATATATTATAACATTTATAAATACAAACTTATTTTGTCACTGTAACATGTCACGCTCAATCATATGGTTAACTAACTGCTCACCAACTTCGGAAAACTTCACTATTGCAATCGCGGCCCGTTCTTCAGCTGCCGCCGAAGACTGTTGAGCTCGAGCACAAGAAATCTGAGCTTCGGCTGCTTCAATTTGTTTTCGTAAGCAATTCTTCTGTAGCTGAATCAGTGACTCCTCTTTCGCTTTAGGATTTTTAAGTGTTCCGGCTGTAAATTGTCCGGAACCAGAATTGGAACTAAGGAACTTTTTTTGTAGTGAAACCCCATCCTCATCTACTACACCGGCCTGACACGCACCTGGTACCCTGTGTAAGACTGGATTATCTTCGACGTCCCATAAATCATAGAATTTTCGTTGCCACTCAGTCAGTACGATTTTTTTGTTACCAGTTTGTTTCACGTCAACATTTTTTTTAACTTTGGTTTTCATGTTATTAAATTTTTCCAAAATCTGTTTTGCATCCAGTTTTTTTCCTGTTAGTTCATTGAAAGCAGCAGTTAATTTCTTCAGTGCATCTTCTTTTTCATTCTTGAATTTTTTTGTCATTCTTTTATCAAACAAAATTTGATAATCCTCAAGAATATTAACAAATAACAATTGTTCATTTCGATCCTGACCTAACTCTTTTGTCGCATCGGAATCTGATGAGTCACTCATTTTTACTTGTAGACGAAATGCTAATAATGTACGTAGTAAAAATGTATTGTGAATGTACAGGCAGATGAAAAACGAGTTCTAACACGATTGATGTGATTTACACGAGCACACAGCCGCGGCGCGACGCGCGCCGCCTCTTAAGCGCTTAGCAGTACATACTTCAGGTTAGTAGTAGGTACTTCTGTTGTGCCATACAGTATAGTATATTCTTCTCAGATAAAGCACATACTTCTATGTAAAAGAGGATGCTACAAAGTAGATACTTTTTAGTGAAGCAATAGCATCTACTACGTTTTATGCATTCCACCCAATATCTTCAAAACTATCAACTGCAGTTGCAGTTCCTCTAGCTGGTGATCTGTTTGGTGAAGTTCCAGATGTTCCTGGCTTTGGGGAACTATTCGGAGGGCTTGCAGAAACTCCTGGAGCAGTGACATTATGTCTTGGCTGTCGTATTTTCACTATCACTGTCGCTGGAATCAGTTGCCGAGGCATTATAATCAGGGTCATCCTTTGAATCCAAAGACTCTTCGTCACTTACGTTCACTACATATCGTTCTAATTCTTCGTCTGAAAGATATTGTCTAGCCATTGTCTTTACAGTCACTCACAGTTAACACTATCACTAAGTAATAAAGTCCACTTTAATTTTGTATTAGTCTTTTTCCACTTTTTGTCGCAAAACGTCTACCTGAAACAAAAAATCTATACATTATTTCGGTGTATCACTAGGGATACACACGGCCTGTGGTAAAAAAATTCGGACAGGCCGCGTGTATCGTTAGAGGTACACTCCTGAAATTGCTAAAATAAATACGTCATATTGAAAAATGCATACAGTTAACTTCTAGGTGTATATCATGACGGAATTTAAGAAATAACACCATGGCCAAGGTGGAAAAACTACTTCAACTCGGCAGTCAAAGTGTTAAGTAAATATTCATTCAGTATCTACTATAAAAAATGAACAAGTGATAATGTTTCGCAGACAGTATTGTAACCTTTTTTTGTCTCTAAGCTACAAAAATGTCAAATGCACAAAATAACAACTAATAGCAAACTTTAGATAGGTTTACTAATAATATGAAAATGTAAGTAAAGTTAAAATACCAACTAATTTAAATGGAATTTTTGCAAGTACTGGATTTACTTTCCATGAGTTCCAACAAAATCGTTTCCCAATCCTGCAGCACAATTTTTTATTTCCAGTTCTGTTTATGTCAGTCTTTTTCTCGAGTCTGGATTTCATATTATTACTTTTTTTGTACATTTGACTTGTCGTTATTTGTATTCCGAAATTCAGCTTCCACTGTTTTTTGATCAGTTCTAGTGCTTTGATTTTTGACTGTCGGACAGTTGGCGTTTGTAACTTGGATAAAAGTATGGGAAAATCACGTAGCATATTTACAAATCCCAATTGGGATTCGCCGGTTTTATCAGTTTCTTCTTCGCTTTCACTCATTGCGCTGATCGACTGTATACTTGAATTTATACTAGTACACGGATATGCCGAACGCCACACTTTTTTATTGTTGTGCAGGTGCAGACTTGTATGGAAGAGTATCTACTTTATGTGCTAGGAGCAGATACTCCTCTCGGTGAAATATTTTTATTCATACAAAACGGAGAACAAACTAGCACTTGATGCTTATGCTAATGAGTACGTACTCGGGAGTTTAAACTCAAGTGTTATTCATATCAGCCAGTATAATAACTACATGGGCGCGCTGTGTTTAATGAGAAAAGTATATACAGGGTGACTTTGAAGTTGAGTCATTAATTTTCAGATAATGATTGTAGAAGGAAGATAAACCAAAATATGTGTGTAAAAATAAAAAAAAAATTAAAAAAAAATTTTACCTTGTTTTATAAAGTATCCTCCCGACAAGTATTTCAGTGCGGACCTGTATTTGATCGTGAGGTCCCCTGTGAGGTCTTGAGTCACCTGATTCACGAGCCCGTTGTACTACATTAACAAAGGCACGAGGGGTTGGTTGCACTCGATTGGGAAACCGATCCGCATAAACATGTGCCATTTTTTATTTCACTATTCACACGCGACTGAAACTGACTGTATGTATAACTGAACTGAATTGTAATCGTAAAAACATCGTTCCAAATTCTTTCGCTTTTTTGTTTCCGATGCGATGAACCGTTGTTGCCAAACACGAACACATGATATTATTGAGACAGGGCGGTACTCAAACTTCCAAAGGGCTATAACTTTGTTACTTTAATTTTACCAGACAAATGGTAAAGGAAAAAAACATTTCTTTTGATCAGATCTACACACTGTTAAAATAAATGACTCAACTTCGAAGTCACCCTGTATATATATATATATACCACAAGAGCTGAAATTCGGTAATATTATAGTTGAGTGAATAAGTTAATAGAAAAAAAATATCCAGCTTTCTATCTAGTGGGGGGAAAGTGTCCAGCTACGTGACGTGAACTACTGTGGGGGCATATACATTATGAATATCTGACGTGCCCGAGTATCTCCATGTGACTATTTTTTTACATTTTTGAAATCCTGTAGACGGTCCCCCACCGCTGAAAAGGTATGTCGCATGACCTTTTTCTTTCTACCATCTAATCTACGAAATACAATAAGTCCCCACAACCCATTTAGCACAGTGGGCTCCCCTACTATAAGTAGATGTTTCCAAAGGAGTTAAAGGATTTTAGACTGTGAACTAAATTTTACTTTTACGGTAAAAAAAGCTTGATCTAACCTTAGAAAAACCTTATTTAAATACAAAACAAATTATTATATATATAATGTCCATGTCGCGAATTAATTCGACGCACTTATTAAAATATCTACAGAATTCTTTCATCACAAAGAAACTGTCATTGGAGTATATGCTTCCAGAATGAGCCAATGGCATCAGTTGGCTATGATCCAGATCCTCAACGTTCTCATCACTCAAGGTGTAAAAGATCAGTTGATTTAATAATTGTGTAATACACGTGCTGCTTTAACCATTTTATGTACCAATTCAAGGCGGCACTCGAAGGGTCTTCGGAATATTCTAAACCGAGCCGCTAATATGCGAAAAGCGTTTTCCACGAGTCTGCGTGCACTGCACCGCCGATAGTTAAATATTCTCCGTGATGCCGTTATGATCAACAATGGGAACGCCTCATCCCATATGAAAACGTAAGGTATCTCCACTCCACCTGGATATTGGGGACCATCAGGTGGCAACCCCAACTCTCCATTTTTCAATGTTTGTCCGAAAATACTGTCATTCAAAATTACACTGTCACTAAATCTTGCCATAGAACCAACATCTATGTAAACCAATTTTCGGTTTGAATCAGCAACTGCCAGTAAAGCAGTTGGAAATGCCTTTTTGTAATTAAAAAAAATTCCCTGATTGAGGCAGTGCTTTTATAATGAATTGCTTTCCATCGATTGCGCCGACGCAGTGATCAAACAGGCGGTACTGCTTAAAATTATTCGCAATATTTTTCCAGTCACTAGTTGTAGGCTCTTGAAGAACCTGGGGTTGAAGGGGTTTCCACAATGCATCACACACTTCTTCTACAATTTCTGTAACTGTATTCTCTCCCATCCTGTAACTATAAGCCATTGATCTGAAGCTCCTGAAGCTAGACATCTGTAAAAAAATTTATTTCAGATTTCAGAAGCCAAGTGCATATGGAAGAAACTTATAAATGACCATAGACAAGCATTAAATAAGAGAAAAAGAACAGGACAAGCAGCAAGTATGGACAATAGGCTATGGAAATATGAAGAACAAATAGATTTTCTCCTAGCACATTTGAAAAATCTACCGCTACTCAACACATTGTAGAAGCTGATGTTGATGGGAGTGTTAAAACTTCCGAAAATATACAGGCAGAAGAAAATTTCTTTTTATTATTTTATATGTCCGCTTCAACCTGATGGTCATTAGCGGTGGAACTGATCATAATTTGTACATAAATCCAGTTGCGGTCAGAAAATTTTTTAGATTGACAATGCTGCAGTTTGCACCTAAGATTTCTGTTAGGGAGTTGCTTAAATTATATCTAAATCTATATACTTCGAGTACTGGACACTCCACTAGAATGTGTTTTACGGTTAACTGCACGTCACATATTTCACACATAGGTTCCTGTTCTTGGGCCAGAAGATATCCATGGGTCTCTCGTGTATGTCCCAATCGGAGTCGTGTGATGAATGTTTGTGTT